TTAGAAATGTCTCTGTAAACTCCTCTCATAATTCTCAGGGTTTCTGTTTCTCTCTCTCTCTCTCTCTCTCTCCAGCAGGGTTTTCTGTGCCGTAAAACACTTTGTTTCACAAATAAATATCAAGCTTTTCTGAATTTAATCAGGTGTGTTACAGATGCATATCCACACACTGAGAACAACCACCACGCCCCCTAACACACACACCCCTCCTCATACGCCCAAAACAAACAAACACACCTCTGACCCCCAACTGTCTTGTTGTAGATGTGGGGTACAAGTGGGAGAGAGTAGGAATGAACATCAATATGAAAAGAGAAGCAAAGAGGAAAAAAGAAGATAAGAAAAGAACAGGAAAGGACAGAAGAGAAGAGAAGAGAAGAGAAGAGAAGAGAAGAGAAGAGAAGAGAAGAGAAGACCAGGAGAGCACAGGAAAAGAGATGAAGAGAAGAGAAGAGAAGAGAAGAGAAGAGAAGAGGAAAAGAGATAAAGAGAAGAGAAGAGAAGAGAAGAGAAGAGAAGACCAGGAGAGCACAGGAAAAGAGATGAAGAGAAGAGAAGAGAAGAGAAGAGAAGAGAAGAGAAGAGAAGAGAAGAGAAGAGAAGAGGAAAAGAGATAAAGAGAAGAGAAGAGAAGAGAAGAGAAGACCAGGAGAGCACAGGAAAAGAGATGAAGAGAAGAGAAGAGAAGAGAAGAGAAGAGAAGACCAGGAGAGCACAGGAAAAGAGATGAAGAGAAGAGAAGAGAAGAGAAGAGAAGAGAAGAGAAGAGAAGAGGAAAAGAGATAAAGAGAAGAGAAGAGAAGAGAAGAGAAGAGAAGACCAGGAGAGCACAGGAAAAGAGATGAAGAGAAGAGAAGAGAAGAGAAGAGAAGACCAGGAGAGCACAGGAAAAGAGATGAAGAGAAGAGAAGAGAAGAGAAGAGAAGAGAAGAGAAGAGAAGAGAAGAGAAGAGAAGAGGAAAAGAGATAAAGAGAAGAGAAGAGAAGAGAAGAGAAGACCAGGAGAGCACAGGAAAAGAGATGAAGAGAAGAGAAGAGAAGAGAAGAGAAGAGAAGAGAAGAGAAGAGAAGAGAAGAGAAGACCAGGAGAGCACAGGAAAAGAGATGAAGAGAAGAGAAGAGAAGAGAAGAGAAGAGAAGAGAAGAGAAGAGGAAAAGAGATAAAGAGAAGAGAAGAGAAGAGAAGAGAAGAGAAGACCAGGAGAGCACAGGAAAAGAGATGAAGAGAAGAGAAGAGAAGAGAAGAGAAGAGAAGACCAGGAGAGCACAGGAAAAGAGATGAAGAGAAGAGAAGAGAAGAGAAGAGAAGAGAAGAGAAGAGGAAAAGAGATAAAGAGAAGAGAAGAGAAGAGAAGAGAAGAGAAGACCAGGAGAGCACAGGAAAAGAGATGAAGAGAAGAGAAGAGAAGAGGAAAAGAGATAAAGAGAAGAGAAGAGAAGAGAAGAGAAGAGAAGACCAGGAGAGCACAGGAAAAGAGATGAAGAGAAGAGGAAAAGAGATGAAAAGAAGAGAAGAGAAGAGAAGAGAAGAGAAGAGAAGAGAAGAGAAGAGGAAAAGAGATGAAGAGAAGAGAAGAGAAGAGAAGAGAAGAGAAGAGAAGAGAGGGGGGTACAAGTGGGAGAGAGGGTAGGAATGAACATCAATATGAAAAGAGAAGCAAAGAGGAAAAAAGAAGATGAGAAAAGAACAGTAAAGGACAGAAGAGAAGAGAAGAGAAGAGAAGCTAAAGGTAGGAAAGAGAAGAAGAGAGCAGAAGAGGTGAAAAAGTTTTGTTCATAGTCTCTGAAGATCTCTCATGATGCCCACATCTCCTCAAAGGTGCCAGCACATCAGAGAGAACATATAGTATGTAAGCTGTAGAGCTAATGTGGATAAGCGTGTGTGGTTTAGGGATAGTTTATGTTTAGGATGTGTATACGTGTGTGAGCGTGTGCAGTGAGGCTGTAAAACGCTTTACAGTAAAACAGATGCCATTTGCCCAGAATTGATAGTAACACTCATGCCAGATGGAAGCAGGGCCTAAATGTTTGGGAAACCTCAGCTACAGTGCAGTCTGTGAGTTTTTAAATAAAAGAGTTTTAATGTAAACAATGCTAAAGTTTCACAACATTCCAGTCACTCACCAGTGCATACGATCCCTGGAAACTTCGGCCTGGACTGCACTTTGAATGAGGCAACCCATCAAAAATATATCATTAAGCTTGCTTGACAATTACTTAGACACCACATATAGTCTCATATACATACTAGCACACATTAGAACTGGGCAATTAATCCAATTGTATTTTCAATTACAATTTTGGCTTCCATTGATCATGAAAACAGGATAATCGAGACAAAAGGATTACTGTGCAGCGTTCTGTTTCGCAATTATGCTCTTGTTTTGTCCAATGATGCTCTCCTTTGGTCCCATGCACATATATTAGCAACCACATGGGATACCATAGCAATGGCCTGGCAACACCTTAACAACCACCTGGGACAGTGGTTCTCAACCCGGTCCTTAAGGCCCCACAAGCGGTCCACATTTTTCCTGCAGCCCTGTGTGTTGTGAATTGGTTGGAGTAAACATGTGGACTGTCTTTGGGGCCCTGACAACTGGGTTGGGGACCACTGACTCGGGATGCCATTGCAACACACTAGCAACACATTAGCAACCACCTGGGATACCACAGCAATGCCCTAGCAACACCTTGGTAACGACCTGGGATACCATAGCAGTGCCCTAGCAAAACCTTAGCAACCACCTGGGACACCATAGCAATGCCCTAGCAAAACCTTAGCAACTACCTGGAATACCATAGCAATGCCCTAGCAACACCATAGCAACCGCCTGAGATTAAACAATGAAAAAACAATTCACGCCTCTCCACAGACATCGCCATGTCGAGATCAAACAGCCAGCACAACTGCAGCTTTCATCACATCAAAAAATAACAAACAGCATTTAAACACAATAAAACTACTTCCAAAGATGAAAAGACCAGCTCGGTTATGTAAACCATAGACATTTCCACTTAAATATATTTCATCAACATTACTGAAGAATAAAAATCACTTGCAGTTCAACCGAGAAACCTCCACGACATTTTATGGCTACTGTAAAAAGGGTTAAAGGCATCGTAACCAGCCCACTGAAAGGGTTAAAGAGAGGTTGGAAAATGTAAAATGACTTATAGCTTTTTGGTACATAAAAAACATCCCAAATGGACCTAAATATACAAGGAATGCAAGAAAAATGTAGGACGTAACCCCAAATGTGACTCTGGGAAATGAAGCGCTGAGTGTGAAAAGTTCTGAATAGTCAGTACCTTATATTGAGTTTTATTAGAAACTCTTTTCATTGATTTAGAAATGAATCGATGAATTACTAAACATTTAGGTGAAGTACAGAATATATATTACGTGTAATTACTGTAATTAATATTGCAGTACAAAAGGCCACTTGCTTGTACTCATGATCGCTATGACCATTTACTACAATCTCTTCAAGAAACTACAGAGATACCAAAAGCTGGCAGGGGGTCAGAGTCAAGGGCCCAAAAGCTCCAGACAATATCCCTCATTCGTTTTGTGTCTGATGGAGTGTAAATAATCACCTAGTGGGAGACCACCCACATGTATACACATATATACATCTACATATACACACAGACAAAAGGCATATGCTCTAATTGTAGGAGTCAGTGTTCTTCACCAAGTCCAGCTAACGTCTGTAAGAGAAGGGCCAGAGAGAAAGGAGGGGGAAAAAAGAGCGGGAGAGAGTTCTGCACATGTAAATGAGTATTTGACCAGCTGTGACAGGACTGCTCCACTACTTTCCTCTCATGAAAAAGTCCTAACATAACGACTCATTACTAAACATTACCTAAACCTACAGGGAAGGGAGCCCCTGGGGTTCCCCCCATGTATCTGCTTAGACTGAGGACATCATGGAGAAATGTTCTAATGCTTTCCCCGTTCCTCTTCTCACACAGAAAGAAAACACACCAGTTGAGTATTCTAACAGGCACACACTCCTTATATATGAACCCTCCAGTCTGGTAAAGCACCAACAAGTCCCCTTCTAGAGGTCGGCCCTCCCTCTGATTCCAGCGGGACCCGCCACAATATCTTGCGGTGCGGGACTAATTTTCAGTGTTGTGTGCGGGAGCAGGCGGGAGCGGGATGAAGCACACATGAAGAGAAATCCAAATTTATGAATAATAAATAAAGTTGAACGATCACTATAAATAATATTTATAAAGAACATAAAATGATAATAGTAAAACACTTCAAATGAAGTCATTCTAAAGAGTTGCGAAGCAACCGATCACGTGAACAACACACATATTCTCACAGGTTACTGAGACAACGGGGCCTTCAGTCCGACGGCCACAGCTGCCCAGCAAAACACCAAAAATAACCATTCTGTGGTTCCTGCTTTGTGTTTCCTGGGAATAAATGGTGTTTGGTGAAGTTACTTAACAGTGAGCCTGACAGCCATGACTGTCGTGTTATTACAGTAGAGGATCATGTATTTATGAATAGACTATGTCAGATACTGGATGTCATTTCACCTTGATGGAACTGCCAGGGTGGGAGCGGGACAAAACGTTTTGGTTGCAGGCAGTAGCGGGACAAATGATTCCGATTTTCTGGGGGAGTGGGCGGGCACGGTATGGAATCTTGCGGGAACAGGTGGGAGCGGGACTGAAAAGACAGTCCTGCGCAAACCTCTACCCCTTCCTTCTCCTCAGTGTACACGATACACATATTAATATTTGTCATAAAACAATACACACAGTGAATCGAACACAGTTAAATTTCATGCTATTAAATGCGTGATATTGGGAATGGTGGTGCTGTTTGACACAATCCATGATATGTTTTTTTATATTTTGGGACCTTCTGAATCCCTTATAAACACTCTCTATTCACTGTATTATGCGAAAACAAGGCTTTTCTGAAGGCTTTCAGTTACTGGTCTCATGCGTTCTTGCGTTTTCTTTATACATACCTACATACCGGCTGGCTGAGGCACCTGTGTTGCTGATGGGGTTGGTGTGTACAGGCTTTACAGACAAACATGAGAAGACTGGAGAGAAGAGAGCAGATCAGGATGGACCTGGATTAGTCTGAGGACCAGGTAACATATTTTGAGAGTACTTTCATATTTATTTAATCATTCTCAATTGACATTTTATACCACAGAAGAATATATTGTGCTTAGAGTTATCTCTTATCTCCACCAACATGGCCCCTTAACTACCACACAGCTTACCTGCAACCAGAGATCATCATTTGGGCTGAACCCAAACCAACGCCCTTCCTTCCAGAATCCAGAAGCAGGCCTCAGAAACCTGGAAATCAAAAATACAATACATATGAAAAGCCATTTGTTTTGGTACCTCACTGAAGGAGATGCTGATGAGAGAGAAACACAAAGTCCTGGGTTTTCTGAGATAGTGTTCTGGCCACACAAGCATTATGCTATATAAAACCTATCATCTATGCAAACTGGCCACTTAATTTGGTCCCCTTATCTACATTTATCCATTTTATCAGATCTACTTTCCATACAAATATTCAATTCTGTGGAAAAAGTCAGAGACCACCCTTCATTTATTTAATTTTCAGTCAGAATGTCTATTAAGTCCAAGTGATTTATTTTTAGGTTAGATTTAAGGTAATCTACTTGAATAAGGAAAGAAAATGTTGACGGAAAATAAGTGGAAAAACAGGATTTTCAAAAACTGAAATTCAAAAAATTATTTATAGAGCAAACAGGACTCCTAACAACCACCTGCAGGACCTGGTAGGCCACAAAAACTGTCCCCATCAGATAAACAGTGCTTAAAGCTTTCAACTTTGAGAGAGAAGAGAAAACTAAGTTTCAGTAAGTTCCTGAAAACAAAAATCTGTGTTTCTGTCCATCCTTCCACGGTGAGAAGACAGCTCAGTGCTATGGGTCTGAAAGGATGTGTAGCTGTCAAAAAGCCTCACTGAGAAAAGGACAAAAATGAGAACATTTGCAAATCAAACAAAGAAGCTGATGTTCTCAGAACAATAGACTGACCACCCCAGAGTCCAGATCTCAACATCACTGAATGTGTTTTTGATTACTTGGATTGGGAGAAGGAGGCAGTATGACTGAACTTCGGAGGTGTGGAGAAACATTCCTGCAGATTGAAAAACTAAAAGTAAGTCTGCCACAAAGAACGGAAGCTGAGATAAAGGCCAAGTGTGGACAAATTAAAGTAAAAATAACTATATTATGTTCAGTTGATGCTTCTGTGTAAAGTGTTAAACTAATAGGGGAGAGTCTGTAGCAATGGTATTTCAGGTGGTTGCTAAGGTGCTGTTAGTATATGTACACTTGTCCAAAAACATCTGGCTACCAATGAGTATACTGACTGTGGTGGAATGAGGCATTATACTATTCTGGTTATATATTTATGACAATATAATGAGCCATTATATATTATATAAGTGAAATTACTGAGTTTCAGGATGTTGAGCATCCCTACATTCAGTCCTATAGAAAAATATTAGGTGTTTGAATGAACGCTATGTGAATCAGTTAATACAGCACAAGCATCCAATTTCAGCATAGACTCTATGATCCTAGTTTTGTGGTTCTAGCTCAAAAGCTGAGCAAAGAACAGTACGTTGGCTTCTTCTACTACACTCTTAAAAAAAGACGGCTCCTCAGGTATTCTTCAGTAAAGAAAATGGTTCTATAAAGAACTATGAACACTCAAAGAGCCCTTTGCATAATTAAAAGGTACTTTGCATCAGAAAGATGGAGAATGTGCTGTAGATGGTTCTATTTAGAACCTTTTTGGAAAAGCTTGACATCGTAACAATAAAAGAACCCTTTTGGGCGCTATATAGAACCATTTTCAGAAAGGTACCATACAGAACCATCTACAGCACATTCTGAAGAATGCTTTCATGACACAAAAAACCCTTTAAATCATGTGAAGGGTTCTTTGAGTGTTCATGGTTCTTTAAAGAATCATTTTCTTTACTAAAGAACCCTTGAAGAACCATCCTTTTGAGTTTATATGCCTTGGATAAACAAATCTTCCTCAATTTTTTTTTTAATTTAGTGCTTAAACACTGTAATTTTTTAAAACCCACAGACCTAAACGAAGTTTGTAGACTGGTGATGTAAAAATTCAGATCCACTGTTTAGGGTACAAAAAGCCACACAAACATTTTTAGTGGGCCTCAAGAGATATAAATACAAGAACAATATAGAATATGGACTATTTAATAAAAAAGTGGTCTCTACCTTTTGCATAGTAGTGTAAAGTGAGCAGACCTGTGGATTATATTGCAATAATTAGTGAATACAATAGACAATAAGGCCCAATCTCACCCCTCGCCCCACCACTGAGCCCTTATCACCCCTCGCCCCACCACTGAGCCCTTATCACCCCTCGCCCCACCACTGAGCCCTCCGTTTTGCGTGTTCACCTCTAGGGCCCAATCCCATTTCTTCTCGAGTGTCACCTTAACCCCTTGGAATTGAGTTATAAGGGGTAGTAGTTGAAATCTTTCCCTACAAAACGGGACCCTCAAATTTAAAATTCTTCATTAACAGCTACTAGCGCTGCTCTGTAGGCGACCCGGCCCGTCTTCAGTGACAGCAGAGGAGAGTAAAGTTCAGCTCCTCACTGCTGGTCTCTGCTGGTCTTTAGTTACATTTAGGGCATCATATGCTTTCAAAGAGCATATGATGCCCTAAAATGGTGCAGCAGTTACATTCTGGTGCTAGAACTGCTGGACCATTTAAGGTGGAACTGGAAAGTTAGCTAGCTAGCTACTGAGACATTAGCATGCTATTAGCGATTTTTTTATATTTGTTACGAAGAAAACGACCATAATACACTGAAACGACATTAAACTAAGATAAAACAGTGGTTATCGTAATTTTTAACAGAGAAAATTCTCAAATTTGTGGGTTTCTTTGGTCTCTTGTTCAGCCATCTTGCCGGTTTTTCTTTTTTTCTCATAACACTCTGTTTGGAGTCTCTGAAACACTCTGTTTGGAGTCTCTGGGTCATGTAGCCCAAACACTTCGCCCTACCCCTCTATCTCAACTAAAGTCAGGACACCCTACCCCTAGACATGAACGTGCAAAACAGAGGGCTAAGGGCCAAGTGGTAGGGGTGAGGGGTGAAATGGGATTGGGCCTAGGGGTAGGGTGTCCCAATTTTTTGTTGAGATAGAGGAGTAGGGTGAAGTGTTAGGGCTGTATGGCCCTTCAAACAGGTTCTTCAGATCCAAACAGAGGTTTTTCAGAGACTCCAAAGAGTGTTATGAGGAAAAAAGAAAAACCGGCAAGATGGCTGAACAAGAAACCAAAGAAACCCACAAATGTGAGTATTTTCTCTGTTACAATTACAATAACCCCTTTATTACCTATAATAGTTTTATATATATATATATATATACACACACATGTTTTGGACACAGCCTTAGTCAGATTACTACACATAGAGGTCTCTGAGGGTTGCATAACCATAAATTACAGAGAAGTTTCAACTAAATATAAATATAATAACTTTGCAGGGGGGTCTAATGGTTGCACTTTTTTTTACCAAATAGCAGTTTGGATTCCCACTAAAACACATCACAGGATAGCAGGCCTCTGTTGGCCTGCTGACAGCATAACTAGCAGATTGCTGGCTTAACCAGCACTGTTGGTTAAGCAGTGTTAGATAAAATGCCACCTTTTATTGCTTATTTTCCACTCATAGTCCAATTTACCTATTTTTGCTTTATTTCCTTCTTTTGTTATACTTTGTAAATGTGTTCAGTAAATACATTTTACAGCAGTATCAACCAGATATACAGATGTAACCAACCTAGCACAGTGTCAACAATGACAGCTTCAACGAGATAATTTTTGTTAGGCCTTGCTGTGAACCTTTTACTCTTAATTCTGTGTAATGTTTGTCTCTATGTTCATTTAAAACCTGTTAGAGGCGATCAAAAACTATATAGACTTTATATGCCGGACGCTAATCTGGGAGGTCTGGGGGTGGACCAGCTGGTGCTGACCCTATCAAGCCAGTGGACTGATATGTGCCCACTATCTGGGATATGAGCCACATCGTCTGCAATTCTTTCATTGTAAGACAGTTAAATAACAAAGCTACATTTTATTTCACCACACAGTAGCTAGCTAGTATGCTAACTGGTTTAACACCTTAGCAACCACCTGGGAAACCACAGCAACAGACCTTCCCCATTCTAGTTTAATTTCCAGTCATAAAGTACAAATTAATTATTTTTAATATATTTTTCAGTATCAGGTAAAAAAAAATAGAAAGCACACTTAACAGAAAATTACACAGAAGCTTTAACTAAATATAAATATAAATATAATAGATAACCTTTCAGGTCTTTTTTCCCGAACAGCCTTTTGTATTCCCCTTAAAATACATACGAGCCACATTATCTGCACAATTCTTTCGTTATAAGACACTAAAAGAATGAAACTCCGTTTTATTTCACCACACGCGAATTTTTCTATCGTTATATCCTCGCAAAGTGACTCAAAACACGAGGTTGAACTTGGCTTCTTGGTCGAATTGTCCGTTCCACCTTAAATGCTGCTGCGCTGACACACTGGCACCTGTGACCTGCTGCTCCGTTTAAGGTGGAACGGATAATTGGAATGAGAAGCTAACTTCAAATTCGCACTGAAAACACATAAAACAGAGTCATGTTACTCACAGTACTCACAAGATGTAGAAGCACAATGTATATTCACAACGATGAGCACATGAGACGTTTAATCCGTTATTCCTGGATGCAGCGACGACCGAGGCTCGCTGTTAGCCGCCTCAGGTGCGCTGGTGCGCGGCTAGTGCTGGCAAACCGACCGCTGGAGCGCCGGAGCCCGGAGCTAGTCGTACCGCTCCCAGCAGCGAGTTTTTCCCCGTTCGTGTGCCTTTTAATGAGGCCTCTCTTACTGTTTTAATGTCTCTCTTAATCCTAAAAGTTAGTCTCCGGGATTTCCTGCAGGTTATATGTTTTTGTTTACTTGCTTTCACACGTCAATCAACTATGGAGCTCTTCATAAACTGCGACAGGCTGTTAGAGCGAGTTCAGTACGTCATATGCGGAGTGGGGGCGCCACTCAGCGGTCGGTGAATGAACTGCAACTCAAAAATACATGAAAAATAAAGGGAAAATGCCAGGGGGGTATTTTTTGGGCATTTTTGTGCCCATTTTGATGCCAGCGTGCAAAATGAGGAACGCTTCACGATTTTGCGTGTCATCCTTGCGCAGGGGCCATGCTAATCTTCTCTGTATCGTTCCAATTTTAGTATATGTGCTGCCGTAGCAAGCACGAACAGAGAGCCCGGACGGCTGGTATAAATAGCCGGGCCATTGGGTATGATTCTTGTCTGTGGTAGATAGAAAAAACCCCAAATATTTACCTCAGGAGGCAGAAAAAGGTGTAAGTACCTGAAATATAGTGATATCCAATGGTAAACAATGAATAATTTAAAGTATTTACCTTTCTTTTATTCATTCTGAAGCTCCTGGGGCGTGGACTAGGAGATATGCAGAACAGAGGGGCAACCAGCAGCCTGGATTGGCTGCTCTGTTCGTGGCGTAATCAGCTCCTTTGTCATTCTTCACATTCCATCCCCCTCAGTGGCCCCACCACTTCCTCCCCCGCTGCTACCTTCCCCCCTCGCTCACAGGAGACGAAACGACAAAGGCACCCAGAAAGCAGCCTCTCGGGACCTATAAAAGAAAAAAGATGAAGCATATACAGAAAACAGCCAGCGCAAAGGCAAAACAAGCTGAAACTGAATGCATCGGCAGTCATCTTGGAGCTCGTCTGCGAAATCAGGAAGTAGTTGTGGTGCTGCACACTCAGAGAGGAGTTAGGATGGTCGTGTTTGTCCTGTCTGTGTACCCTGGCCTTTAATGTTAGATGAAATGGTTAAAAAATGTGGCCTAAAGCAAATTTTAACCCTTACCTTACTGTCAGATCATGTATTACCGGAGCTCCGAGACGTTCATGTCAAAAAGCATGCATGGATGTTCAGGAAGAATGACAGGAAAAGGCCAAATCTGAAGTAGAAAGAGGAGAAATGTTTAGTGCACAACGTGAAAAAACATTGCAAACATTAAACCAAATAAGAACAATGTGTTAGAGCAAAGATGTTACATAGAACACACAATTAAAACAAATTCATGCAATAAATGTGTAATAATATAGTAATAATATAGTAATAACTCAAAAGCAATACCTTACATATACACTTCAATGTATGTTCACATTTTAAGTTTTAAATTTTACAAAAGATATAGTTTTACAATTATAATATTTATATATAAATTATATAAAATTATTAATTGTATAAAATACATATATTTTTAAATTTCTGTTGGTCCAAAAAGTAAAAAGTACATCACATGTTGCAAATATGGCAAAAACATAAGTTTTTTTTTATCAGAATTATGTCTGTGACTACTAATTTTAATTTTTTTTGACTGTGAATAAAATTTAAAAAAATGACATATAATCAAAGAAAAAAGTTCATTCAGGGCATAAATGTACAAAACTTCACCACTTTAGACTAATCAGAACAAATTTTATGCGATTTTTAGTACAGAACTACTAAATTTAGTTTTTGGGCACGAATGGGTTAACAACGCCATTTTTACGCTTATTTTATTTATTTATTTATTTTAAATTTTACATACATTTTTTTAAATGTAACATGAAAGTTACAGCTGTCCTTCACTAGGTGGCGCCAAGCCCTCACTGACGTAGGTCTGACGCGTGACCCCCCGCAGAGCGTAGGGCCGCGTCCGAAACCTCATACGACGGTCCTATACTGAAGCGCGCAGCGCGAATGGCGGTGTCCTATTTTTGGCGCACTTTCTACTGTGGTAGGGTGCGGTTTCGGACGCGGCCACTGACTTCGTTCAGTAGCAGCTCAGCAAAAGTTACCAGGAGGTAAAGTTTTCAGTGAAACCTTCTACTGAACAAGCGAAACAAAGCTAAATCCGCTGAAATGTAAGAACAGCAGGACGTTAAACCAACGTGCAGCGTTTTAATAGACAGCGATGCGTTCTGCACCCTTGAGCTCGTGCAGTCTAGGCTGCACATGGTCGATGTACTACACCAACAAGACGTTTCACTGGACGCATTTGAGCATTTGAGTCACTGCATGTGATGAACACCATCACCATTCATTACAGACAACTGCTGGATTTTCAGCCAGAACATTATAATATCTATTTGTCTTGGAATTAAATATGAAAAATGCATAGAAAGTGGGTCACTGATCTGCACATCTAACTGTTCTTCGGCCTTCGTCTAGCTCACAAAACCTTTCCTGAGCTGCAGAGGCATCAGGTTTATGGATGGGGGGGCTAAGACTTTATTACTATACTTCCATCAGACCTGCTCCTTCTTTCTCTTCCTCTGCCTGCCTGTGTTTAGTAACACATTATTTTTGTTCATCTCAGATTTACAAGAACTCAAGGACACAATCAGAGACCATGAAACCCCTGATGGAGCTGCCGTCTCTTAAATTCAGGCTGAGGATTTGCGGGACACATAATTTTGTTATGATCCCCACTCTGTGACCTTTTCACTGACAGTAACTTACTGTAAACAACAGGCCTGTAATGCAAGCGCTGGTGTTGATGTTTCCAAACACTGAAGAGAAATATTAAAGTGAAGAATATGAAAAGCTGTCAGTGAAGTTATTTTTCACTGTGTCGCTCATTTACTCTTCAGCTCTAACCTCCTTCCAGCTGTTTTGTCTGCTAGCTGGCTAAAGTTAGTGTGAGCCTATCATCCTTTCTTTGCCTCACATGAACCCAAAGTTAGTCGGCTATGGAAGCCCATTTGTGCTGCTTCAATAAACTCTACTACCGAATTCATATTTGTCTCATAATTGAGTGAATAGCTATGCTGTTATTGTGAGGTACTAAGACATTATTATTAGATATCAAGTCATTATTTAGAGATATTATCACATTCATTTCAGATGCTTTGTTCATTATTTTGAGAAACATTCGTGTTATTTTGAGATGCTTTATGCTTTTGAGATAAAAACTAAATGTAATATGATAACTAAATATAAATGCTCTGCTGAAAAGAATCATAGAAGCCTTTTCTGCTGGTTCCTGGTGGCGTCCAATAATCACTAATGGTATTCCGTGTTTTCCTGATGGGCTGAGTTCACAGTGTATTAAGCCAATTCCCATTAGAAAGCAAAACCATCAGGTTTTAATCCTAATAGCTCCTAAGATCTCATATCAATGAGACACCTCAAAATAACAACTTAGTATCTCGAATTAATGAGACAGTACTGCACAAATATGACATAGACGTTCATTTTCCTAATGAAAATATAATAATTAGGTGCTGGGCGTTGTGCACGTTGTGAACCAGAAGAAGAGATGGTGAATGAAAATAAACTACAGATGATTTTCTTACTAGTAAAGAACATTTTTTATGGAAGGGAGTATAAATACCTTGTTTGGGGGGAGTTGGCGGGGAGGGGGGGGGGTAAACATGGCCTAGCGTCGATCATGCTGAGCTGAACAGGTGTGTTGTACTGACGATGCCCGGGTGCTCAGGAGCAGGACTGATGATCCACAGGGCTACAAATCACTTTAAAGGGGTTTTTATAGGTTAACTCACCGACCCGCCTTTCAGAGCTCGCCTTTCTTCGTAGCAGCACGTGAAGCACTTCGCGCGCTCTTGTTTACGGAGTCGATTCCCAAAGACTCGATTCTTCGACTCCAGCACGTCTGAGAGCTGGAGTCGACTCTCGGCCAATGACTCTGAGAGTCGAAATGCCTGGAGTCGACTCTTCGGTTCTGTAATTGTCTCGAGGGACAGTTTGATGGAGATGTGTGTAAAGCAAGACAGAGTTTGAGCAGCGCGAGTTCGTTTTAAGGAGAATTCAACCGATTTGTTAAAAATTCCACACAATTCAGCCTTTAAAATGCAGTCATTCAGAGTGTTTTGAAGTGAATCAGTTCATTGTAAACAAACCAGGCGCTGCGGTAATAAAGCCACAGCATAAACACAGACATTTCATTTACGATCCAAACCACCAGTTAATCTATGTGTGTCTGTTCAGTTCTTCTATGTAATGTTCGCTGTTCGTTTTCCACACAGTGACCTGGAACAGGCCCCGTGCGATTGGCCAGAGCGGGTCACGTGAGCTGCTGACGAACCCTTCCAACGGTTTGTTTCTAAACGGTCTCGCCTCATTGGTCGAACTCCGGCCGAGGCCCCCTGTGATTGGACGGAGCTTTCACGAAAACCCGCGGTGCCGCCGGCGGAGCGCGAGAGCGTCGCGTCAGCCTCAGCATTTCGGAGCGGTTTCCCAGTAAGTCCGGTACTTCAGTGTTTCGGCCGCTGTTTAAACTCGGTGTTTGGACCGCGGGCGCGTCATGTGAACTTACAAAAAGAGTCGGTTAACGTTAATGTAATTGTTTTGTGATGTTCACAGCTCCTCCACCAGCTCCGGTCACTCCACCTGCTCCACTGACCCCACCTCGTTTTCCCAGAAAGGCTGCGCAGAAGAGACGTGCGCCTCATGCTGCTTCTGAGGTGAGGTTATCATTTCTGTGCCTTTTTTTTTCATTGCTGCACAAGAACAAGCAACACACACACACACACACGCAAACATCCACTGACAGGCTATTTGTCTGTAGGGTCCTGTGCTTCCACAGAGCTGGAGGCACCATCTCCCTAAAGAGCAGCATGAGTGGATCAGCCGTGCCATGTTTAGGAGGGACACGGCAGGGAAGGCTGTTCTTGTGGACAGCCTACAGATGTGGTGGTATCCTCCCCCACCGCGCCCTGTTCAACATCAGCCGCCGCCTTCCCCTGACGCCTTCTTCACCCGCCCCTTCTGTCTGTGGATGCCCTACCGCATGTGGGCGATCAGACTCTTGTGCAAGCAGCCCAACTGCCATCGGGCCGGTCAGCGGCTGACGTCTTGCGGGCTGTACAAGACGGTCAGGAGGGTGCTCGACATCGATGGCTGGTACTTCGTGGCCAAGAAGTACCTGGAGTGCCGTCGCTGTCGGAAGAAG